CAAAAAAATTAGGACTTCCAAATTTTGTTATTTGTATCGTAAGACCATGGTCAGATCTTGGGGGACTGAGAAAATGAAACAATTTCAACAAACCAATTCAAAGTTATGGGCTTTTGAAGTCTCAGTAATGCCATAAAGTTACGCCTAATCGAGCGTGATGCAAAAAAAAGTTTTAAAGTTTTTGTTTATTTTTGTCTAAGTTTTGATTTTTCATAATAGTATCAAAATTTTGGGCTTAGGACAATTTCAAAGAGCCCAAAACGACATCTGCAGCTTCAGTGTAGGTGGAGTAATCCTCAGTTGTTAAATTTTGGGGGGAGCTAATTTTCGGCCGTTTTGGAAAAAAAATTGGTCTAAAAGCTAAATTTTAAGTATGTGGATTTTTTTCTTGAATTTTTCAAAAATGGGCTGCCCTCCGCTGGATGTGAATATGTCAGTATGAAGAGTCAAATCGAGCCTGGTGATTTGCGCGAACGGCCATAACTTGCCCAAAAAAATTAGGACTTCCAAATTTTGTTATTTGTATCGTAAGACCATGGTCAGATCTTGGGGGACTGAGAAAATGAAACAATTTCAACAAACCAATTCAAAGTTATGGGCTTTTGAAGTCTCAGTAATGCCATAAAGTTACGCCTAATCGAGCGTGATGCAAAAAAAAGTTTTAAAGTTTTTGTTTATTTTTGTCTAAGTTTTGATTTTTCATAATAGTATCAAAATTTTGGGCTTAGGACAATTTCAAAGAGCCCAAAACGACATCTGCAGCTTCAGTGTAGGTGGAGTAATCCTCAGTTGTTAAATTTTGGGGGGAGCTAATTTTCGGCCGTTTTGGAAAAAAAAAATTGGTCTAAAAGCTAAATTTTAAGTATGTGGATTTTTTCTTGAATTTTTCAAAAATGGGCTGCCCTCCGCTGGATGTGAATATGTCAGTATGAAGAGTCAAATCGAGCCTGGTGATTTGCGCGAACGGCCATAACTTGCCCAAAAAATTAGGACTTCCAAATTTTCTTATTTGTATCGTAAGACCATGGTCAGATCTTGGGGGACTGAGAAAATGAACCAATTTTAATAAACCAATTCTAACTTATGAGCTACTGAAATCTCGGTAATACCATAAAGTTAAGCCTAATCGAGTGTGAAGCAAAAAAATTAATTTTCAAAACTTTTGTTTTGTTTTGTCTAAGTTTTGATTTTTCATAATTGTATCATAAAGTTGGGCTTAAGACAAATCCAACGAGCATAAATTGACCTCTGTAGCTTCAGTGTACGTAGAGTACTCGGCAGTTGTTTAAGTTTGGGGGGAGCTGATTTTCGGCCACTTTGGAAGAAAATCGGCCTTAAAGCTGACTTTTAAGTATGTGCAATTTTTTTTCTTGCATTTTTCAAAAAAAACTGCGCTGCCTGTCCCAGAGTGCATTCCAAGAAAACTTATCGAAATGATTTGAATACTTACCTATTTTATTTTTTTTATCACAACAATTAGGCTAAAAGCAACTATCAGTATCCTGGCTGGTATTCGACCATATGCCATTAACAGTGAATGAGCGGCTATCATGCCATAGATGGTCATCCAAGACACCCTGTACAAGATCCGAAGATTTTGACCAGCCGGTTTGGCCATAAAACTCATTGGGCCAAAAAAGTTCTGAGAATTGTCAATTTTTCAAATTTTGTTCGAAATGCATAATTTATAACGTGAGCGTGCAAAATTTTACATGGTATAAGAATATTTTTACTCTCGCGAGACTGCGAGTGTTTTAAAAGTAATGTACATAGATATATGCTAGTCAGGATGTAAATGAAAGCAGAGTTACTCAAAAGCTTACGGCAATCCGCAGATTCTGTCTTTGTCCACATCGTTAAGCCCATGTCGTATGCAACGGCAGAAACGCAGATGGTTATAATGTATTATACTGTACTCTTACGATAAATTTACTAGCCAGCAGGGGTGTTTTGTAAGGACAAAGTGTCGTTAGAGCTACCTATTTTCAATTTCCACCATGACATTTTTTAAATTAATCCGGGAGCAACCCAGCTATCAGCCCAGTCGGTTAAATATAAATATTTTTGATGCGAGTTGTTTTTCATTTTGGGTTCAAGGCATGTACAAAAACTGGGAATGGTTTCGTTATCGCTTCCCCGCCTTTTGGCTAAGATCATGTGTGGTATCTGTTCTTGTCAGCTTAATATCTGTCATGCTGGGCATTGCCTGGTACCAATATTAAACTGATTTTTGCTTCCCGAGTTGACACCGAAGCTTTCTTCAGTTAACTCACGGATTGTCCCAGTCTTACACAACCTTCGAGTACAGTCCACCTGAAAACTTTGAACCCGCACTATGCAATTTACCGTAAAAGCTTGAAGATGTCAAAATGAAGAGTCAAATCGAGACTGGTGAATTGCGCCAGCGGCCATAACTTGCCCAGAAAACTTAAGACTTCCAAATTTTATGATTCTTATCTTAAGACCATAGTCAGATCTTGCGAGACTGAGAAAATGAACCAAATTTGACGAACCAATTCAATGTTTTGAGCTTTTGAATTCTCGGTGATGCCATAATGTTAGGCCTAATCGAGCGTGGTGCAAAAAAAAGAAATTTTTAAAACTTTCGTTTTTTTTTTGTCTTAATTTTTTTTTCATAATTGTATCATACATTCGGGCTTAGGAAAATTCCAAAAAGCCCAAAACGACTTCTGTAGCTTCAGTGTAGGTGGAGTAACCATCAGTTGTTACTTTTTTTGGGGGGCGCCGAATTTCGGCCATTTTGGAAGAAAAACGGCCTAAAAACTAACTTTTAAGTATGTGAAATTTTTTTCTTGCTATTTTCAAAAATGGGCTGCCCTCCGCTGTCGCAGAGTGCACTCCAAGAAAGCTTATCAAATAGATTTGAATATCTACCTATTTAAAATTATTATCACAACATTTAGGCTAAAAGCAACTATCAGTATCCTGGCTGGTATTCGACCATGTGCCACTTACAGTGAATGGGCGGCTAACATGCCATAGATAGTCATCCAAGACACCCTGTACAAGCTCCGTAGGTTTTGATCAGCCGATTTGGCCATAAAACTCATTGGGCCAAAAAAGTTCTGAAGAATGTCAGTTTTTCAAATTTTGTTTGTAATGCATAAATTATAACGAGAGCGTGCAAAATTTTGCATGGTATAAGAGTTTTTTTAACTCTTGCGTGAGGGCCAGTTTTTTAAAATCAACGTACATAGGTATATGCTAGTTAGGACGTAAATGAAAGCAGAATTACTCAAATGCTTACGGCAGAACCGCAGATTCTGTCTTTGTCCACATCGTTAAGCCCATGTCGTATGTATCGGCAGAAACGCAGATGGTTATAATGTAATCTACTGTACTCTTACGATAGAATTACTAGCTTGCAGGGGTGTTTTGTTAGGGCAAAGGGTCATTCGGGTTACCTCTTTTCAATTTCCACCGTGACCTTTTATAAGTTGGTCCGGGAGCAACGCAGCTCTTAACCCAGTCGGATAAATAAAAACGAAAAACGGCTCGCATCATAAAAATTTATGCGTACAAAATGAGGGAAATGGTTTCGTTATCGCTTCCCCGCCTTTTGGCTAAGATCATGTATGGTATCTGTTCTTGTCAGCTTAATATCTGTAATGCTGGGCATTGCCTGGCACCAATATTAAACTGATTTTTACTTCCCGAGTTGACACCAAAAGTTGATTCATTTGACTCACGGATTGTCCCAGTCTTACTCTACCATCGGGTACAGTCCCCCCGAAAATTCTTGTCCCGCACTATGCACTTTACCTTAAAAGCTTGAAGATGTCAGTATGAAGAGTGAAATCGAGCCTGGTGAATTGGACGAACGGCCATAACTTGTCCAAAAAACTATGAATTCCAAATTTTATTAGTCGTATCGTAAGACCAGGCCAGATCTTGGTAGAGTGAGATAATGAACCGATTTTGTTGAACCATTTCAAAGTTATGAGCTTTTGAATTCTCGGTGATGCCAAAAATTATGCCTAATCGAGCGTGGTGCAAAAAAGGAAATTTTCAAAACTATTTTTTTTGTCAAAACTTATTTTTTCATAAATGTATCATAAATTTGGGCTCAGGAAAATTCCAATGAGCACAAAACGACCTCTGTAGCTTATGTGTAGGTGGAGTCATCTTCAGTTGTTAAGTTTTGGGGGAGCTGAATTTCGGCCATTTTGGAAGAAAATTGGCCTAAAAGCTAGCTTTATGTATGTGCAATTCTTTTCTTGCGTTTTTCAAAATTGGGCTGCCCTCTGATGTCGCAGATTGCATTCAAAGAAAACTTATCAAAGAGATTTGAATACTTACCTATTTAATACTTTTACCACAACAATTAGGCTAAAAGCAACTATCAGTATCCTGGCTGGTTTTCGACCATATGCCACTTACAGTGAATGAGCGGCTATCATGCCATAGATGGTCATTCAAGACACCCTGTACACGCTTCGTAGGTTTTGATCAGCCGATTTGGCCACAAAACTCATTGGGCCAAAAAAAGTTGTGAAACGTCAAGTTTTCAAATTTTGTTTGAATTGCATAAATTATACCGTGAGCGTGCAAAATTTGACATGATATCAGAGCATACTTTTATTCTCGCGCGAGGGCGAGTGTTTTAAAAGTAATGTACATAACTATCTGCTAGTCAGGATGTAAAGGAAAGCAGAATTACTCAAATGCTTACGGCAGAACCGCAGTTTCTGTCTTTGTCCACATCGTTAAGCCCATGTCGTATGTAACGGCAGAAACGCAGATTGTTATAATGTAGTCTACTGTACTCTTACGATAGATTTACTAGCCAGCAGGGGTGTTTTGTTACCGCAAAGTGTCATTAGGGCTACCTCATTTCATTTTCCACCCTGACCTTTTATATGTTGGTCCGGGAGCAACCCCTCTCTCAACCCAGTCGGATAAATAAAAATGAAAAACAGCTCGCTTCATAAAAATTTATATGTTCAAGGCAGGTACAAAAATAGGGAAATGGTTTAGTTATCGCTTCTCCGCCTTCTGGCTAAAATCATGTGTGGTATCTGTTCTTGTCAGCTTAATATCTGGCATGCTGGGCATTGCCTGGCACCAATATTAAAATGATTATGTACTTCCCGATTTTACACCGAAGCTTGCTTCATTTGACTCACAGATTGTCCCAGACTTAGACTGCCATTGGGTACAGTCCCCCAAAAAATTTTGTCCCGCACTATACACTTTACCTTAAAAGCTTGAGGATGTCAGTATGAATAGTGAAATCGAGCCTGGTGAGTTGGACGAACGGCCATAACTCGCCCAAAAAACTATGAATTCCAAATTTTATTAGTCGTATCGTAAGACCAGGCCAACTCTTGAGGGACTGAGAAAAGGAACTGATTTTGTAGAACCATTTCAAGGTTATGAGCTTTTGAATTCTCGGTGATGTCAAAAATTATGCCTAATCGAGCGTGGTGCAAAAAAAGAAAATTTTCAAAATGTTAGTTTTTTTTGTCTAAATTTTGTTTTTTCATAATTGTATCATGAATTTGGGCTCAGGAAAATTCCAATGAGCACAAAACGACCTTTGTAGATTATGTGTAGGTGGAGTTATCTTCAGTTGTTAAATTTTGGGGGAGCTGAGTTTCGGCCATTTTGGAAGAAAATCGGCCTAAAACTAACTTTTGAGTATGTGCATTTTTTTTCTTGCGTTTTTCAAAATTGGGCTGCCCTCTGATGTCGCAGATTGCATTCAAAGAAAACTTATCAAATATATTTGAATACTTACCTTTTTAATACTTCTATGAACAACAATTAGGCTAAAAGCAACTATCAGTATCCTTGCTGGTATTCGACCATATGCCACTTACAGTGAATGAGCGGCTATCATGCCATAGATGGTCATTCAAGACACCTTGTACACGCTCCGTAGGTTTTGACCAGCCGATTTGGCCGAAAAAATCATTGGGCCAAAAAAGTTCTGAAATGTCAGTTTTTCAAATTTTGTTTGAAATGCATAATTTGTAACGTGAGCGTGCAAAATTTTACATGGTATAAGAATATATTTTTACTCTCGCGCGAGTGCGAGTGTTTTAAAAGTAATGTACATAGATACATGCTAGTCAGGATGTAAATGAAAATAGAATTACTCAAATGCTTACGGCAGAACCGCAGTTTCTGTCTTTGTCCACATCGTTAAGCCCATGTCGTATGTAACGGCAGAAACTCAGATGGTTATAATGTAGTCTACTGTACTCTTACTATAGATTTACTAGCCAGCAGGGTTGTTTGTTAGGGCACAGTGTCATTAGGGCTACCTCTTTTCAATTTCCACCTTGACCTTTTATAGGTTGGTCCGGGAGCAGATCTCAACACAGTCGGATAAATTTAAATTTTTATGATGCGAGCTGTTTTTTCATTGTTTTTGTTCAAGGCATGTACAAAAATAAGGAAATGGCTTATTTATCACTTCTCAGCCTTTTGGCTAAGATCATGTGTCGTCTTATCAGCTTAATATCTGTTCTTGTCAGCTTAATATCTGGCATGCTGGGCATTGCCTGGCACCAATATGAAACTGATTTTATACTTCCCGAGTTTACACCGAAGCTTGCTTCAATTGACTCACAGATTGTCCCGGTCTTTCACTAGAATCGGATACATTCCACCTAAAAATTCTGGACCCGCACTATGCAAACTACCTTATAAGCTTGAAGATGTCAGTATCAAGAGTCAAATCGAGCCTGGTGAATTGCGCGAACGCCCATAAATTGCCGAAAAAACTTAAAACTTCCAAATTTTTTTATTTGTATCGTAAGACCAGAGTCAAATCTTGGGGAACTGAGAAAATGAATCAATTTTGTTGAATCAAGTCAAAGTAATGAGCTTTTGAATGCTCAGTGATGCCAAAAATCGATCTTGATGCAAAAAACTAAATTTAGAAAATTCACTTTATTATCAAAATATGGTATGGGAAGACCTGAGACATCCATAAACGTGCGTTTCGGGCCCTGAAACGCACGTTTATGCATGTCTCAGGTCTCCCCCCACCATATTTTGATAAT